CATTAGTTTATTTTTAAATTTTTATTTTTCGGAATAAAAAGGATTATTTTTTTTGCCTTTTCATATATATTTTACCACTACGGAGAAATAAAATGGCTTAAAGAAAAAAATGGACACTCCTGAACCGTTTAAATCTGCATGTGTACGGTAAGTTGGCCTGTTCTATAGTGGAAAGTTAAAAAAAAATTGACACTCCCTATTCACCCTTCGTACAAACGCTCCTGGAGAAGAGAATTTGAAATGAGGGAAGGGTTTTTTCCTACCTGCTATTATATGCTTTTAATTTAAAAAGATACAACAAATATACTTAGTTAGATTGATTATGATTCTTGCTTTTTTTTAAGTGGTCATGGTTCAAATCCCAGTACATGTCTTTTTAATGAATAAAAAAAAGTAATTGTGAAGACCAAAATGTTCTTTTTACTTTCACTTTCGTTGCAAGAAATTTGAAATGGAGCGACAGTTTTCCCCTTCATGCTATTATATATTGTGTAGATTACCAAAACGTGCAATGTGTAAGAGGTTAGTTTAGGTATTTCATAAGTGTCCTACGACCGGGTATTACAAATTGTCGTAATTAACGTACTTAACCAATTAGGCTATCCACCTAATTAAAATGCTTAAAAAATATCGTAGCTTTGATTTGGTCCATTAGAGTTTTCGTACCCAATCGTTGACCCATCGATACGATCATCTTCTCTTGGAACTTGTGGACATAAAAATAATATTTATAATAGTAATTATTATTATTATTATTATAATTATTATCCACGGTCTCAACCCGTCCGTCGGCAATGATCAATTTGGATTGCATCAATTATTTAGGCATTGGTCCTTAACTTGGTCTGCTTCGATTTGGGTTTTTCGTTCATAACTATTGATCCAACCATTCATTTATTAATTTTGACCATGAACCCAAATGTCGGGATGTTACAGGAACCTTATCCTCCTAATAGAACCGTACCTCTCTTCCGAAGTAAGGGTTCTGCGAGAGGGCCGAGGGAACACGATCCTACATTAGGTCCAGCTAAATTTGGTATACAATACACGATGGATCATGTAGCCAAAAAGGATCAGCGCGAGTTAAAAGACGACAAGACTATGAGGGTGAAAAGGCCTGGACAAGTTAGTAATCCGACCAAGTCAATGCGCAAAAATGGCACTCGAATCGCCGTATGGAGGTAGGAAATTGGTGCCATATTCACCGTTTTGGTGAGAGCCTAAACTTTCACAAAATATTTTATAGATAGATGCATCCTGGCATGGTGGCTACGTCGATGACGCTCCGTGAAAGGCCAGATGACACGTTAAAGGAAAAATTTCCTCCAAAAAAACTGATGCAGACCTTTATGAGCTAAACCCATACCCCAAGTCGCAACCGGCCTGGCCATTCGAGTATTCACTTGCTTGCATCCTACTAGATGGCTAGGTGGAGTTAGCCCGCTTTGATGGTCACGCCCTCTGTGTGTATGGCCACCATATAAAGTTGTACATCAAGAGCAACAATGTGAATTTGTGGTCTTAAGACATTGGATTCGTGAGGTATCGGTGACTTCCTGTTTGCTTTGGAGTCCTGTATCATGTTTGGTGCTCTAGATTGTTTAATACAAACCAGTTTGGTCCTCCATGTTCAAATTTTGAAGCATGGTGTAGGAGCAACGTGTGGACATCATTCATAAAAATTGGGTTTTGGAAGAGATACTATCTGATCTTTAGTGGGGAATTCATACAAAGTGATGCTAGTTCCTCTCTAGTACAAGTAAAAGCTCCACCCGTAGAACTGATCGCCTACTCGAGGATGCATTTTTAAGGGCACGGATAAAACTTCTGACACCCCTTAAATTTATAGATCCTCCACATGAATTGAGGTTAAGGATTTAATATAGTAGTCTGATACAAAAATAACTCTTGCTCAACTAATACGGGTCGACTATGGAACTGCAGGTTAGAACCCTACAAATGAAAATGAACGAAATGAAGAAATAAAAAGGAAGGAAAAGGGGTTCCAACGGATCTTAAATGGAAATTAGGGGAGAAAGAGCATTCAAAGAGATGAGTCCATGGTTTAGTGTGTTTTCGAGAGTCTCTTCATCCCTGAATCATCTATCCTAGGACCACTACTTGGCATGATCCTGGTTTGAGACTGGAGTTCTCGCCGAACGAGTTTGGGAACGATTGGAAGAAGTTTGGGACTTTTGACCAAGGCAGAGGAAGTTTGCACAGTCTCGCACATAATTCACACGACCATGAGCGCACTGGCCTTGTGAATGGTACCTCGTTTGTGCCACGTTACCAGACGTTTTATATGAGCAGAGCCGGGGTTTACAAGGCCGTTTGATGACCTTGTATTCTTCCTCGTCGAAGTAAAGTGAGATTGAGAGTTTTCCTTTTGTACGGTCATGAGTCCAATTTACACGGTCGTGTGATGACCGTGTAATCGTGTTGTTGTTGGTTCAAAAGCGAAATTCGGGTGTTTGAGAGGGGGATCAAAGTTTCTGAAGCAAAAACAAAAGTTTGATTTAGAGAGAGAAAGTGACAAAGAGTGACCCTTGGAAGCCCTAGATCGACTCTTTCTACCATTGGAGCTCAATTCAAGCCTCGAGGAGCTAAGATTGACGACCTAGAGCAGATTTCTTCCATCTACACGATGATGTCTACATCCAGCCTTGCTTTCCACACTCTCTCTCTCTCTCTCTCTCTCTCTCTCTCTCTCTCAGTAGAGCATTCTTAATTGGAGGTAGTGAATCGATTGTGCGAGAGTCAATCGATTCACTACTTCAGTACTTTGTACTTGTGTAAAAACCCATGAGAGGAAGTTCGAATCTTATTGCCTTGGTTAGGTTATTCCAATGGAGGTTAGTAGCCCACTAGGTATCTATTCACGAGGGTGTGGAACACTTAGTTGAGACTCCAGACTGTTTAAAACTTTCCGTAGTATAAATATCAATCAAATTGGATTGGGTGAATTACAACTTCACCTACTACAATCTAGGGGGACTCATACCTAAGTGACCCTTCTTGATTTGAGAACAACCATTTGCTTTTCTAATTTCTTGTTTCGTTATATTAAACTCTTCACTACAATCTGATAGCTAGATAATAGAATATTCATGGAGTAGGCAGTGCACCTAGGATTCGGGTTGACAAACTTAAGTCAACCCACTTTACTGAAGTTGATCGCAGTGGTTATACTTGGCCATTGTGAGAAGTGTTGTATTTTAGTGAGTCAACAATGTACTTCTTGTATTATTCCTCCTATTCCATCAACAATTTAATTTTCATTGAGGAGGAGATCAAAAGCTATTTTTGCTACTTCTATAAAGGGATTTGGTAGCATAAAAGAACAACTGATTCATGTATTCTTGAGATACTAAATTTAGATTGTAATAATACTTTTGAAATTCACAACCATATCTTTCAAAATAACACATATAAAAAATTTGATTTTTCGTGAGGGTCATCACTGATTGATCTTTTTCTAAAGTTTCTGTTGATAATTCAAATCCAAAATACTCTCTTTTCAGGCTACTAGCTACTATTTTCAAAACTCCTTCATGTAAAACTTCTTAAATTATTTCATCGTTAATTACGGTATTGGATGCTAGTACATTACAAAATTTTTAGGGCATTCCCTATCATGGTACCGTTACATAACTCATAGGTTTGATCCAACATAAAGTTGCAGGCTTTAGCCGTTATCCTAACCATTGTAATCTACTCATATATTCTTTTGTATACATGCTTTTAACAATTAATATTGAGAAAAACACTTGAACTTATGACCGATCTTAAAGGATTATCTCTGGGAAGAATATATTTCATAGTCTTATGAGGATAATTTGGTTTACACCCATGCCTCTTAGCGGCAACAAGTTCATTAAACGTTCTATCATCTACGTCAATAAAGCTTCTTGCATTAAACTCATAAATTTTTGTAGATCGCTTGCTAAGTGGCTAGTATTAGCAGTAGTCGTTATCTTATTAGGGTTAGTATGTATGTAACCATTTTCTCTTGTCAAAGTTTTACAACATCATATTAAAAAAAATTGTTTTAATTTTCTCTCATTCTTAGTTGCATCTAGCCGTTGATTCAGGAGATTTGGACATTGCCTCCTACATTTGTCTATTATATTCAGACATTTCTAGGGCAGTTTCATCAAAACTTTCGACCAAGACTTGCAGCTTAGTACGAAGGTCAACAAGATCAGCCAAATTGAACTTAGCATTTGAGTTAGATAACTCATCTTTGGATACCATGATGTCTTTTGATAAAAATTGGCACTTAAAACACTTTTAAGGACCAAAATGTAAATAAAAAGTTTGAATAGCTGAGAAGTGGCTCAATTGAGCCAAAAATTGGCTATATCACTTAAATTTTGGCTATGTTCTCAAATAATGGCTATGTTGATAAAATCTAAGTGTAAGTGGTTTGATTGGTAAATAAGATGGAAAATTGGCTAGATATGTAAACAATTTTAATTTAGTAAGTTTTTTGTAAAATGCTCTTATATTTTGATGTTGTTCTCCCCATTAATGAAAAACATTACTGAAGAATTTCGAGAAAGTCATCACTCCCTGTGCTCTCAACCCTGTAGATCTTGATAGAATAGTATGATACCCTTAGCCCTGACGAAAGGAAGAAAGAGTCTGGACCCTCCCTGCACGCCGATGTACAAACTGAATGAAAGTTTCAAGAACTCTCACATACATCCCATTATCCCACAAGAGTTGTTTTACCCAGATCTTACTAATTGTACCACAAACCACTCGTTTACATGGGTCATTAAACCCCTTAACATTCTACATGAGGGCCTGCATGGAGACTTGAAGACTGCTTCCAGACCCTTAATCGATCCCTTCTTAATCATGGTCGAAATCTGAAATTGGGCACTATGATAGAAAGGGTTTGGAGCGTCGTATCAAACACGATGTAAGTCGAAAGACTATGCTTGGAAGAAGGTTACAGATCAATATGTATGTCTGTATAACTTAGTTTCTGAGTACATTCTATATTGGCATATATATACTTTAAACTTACACTTCGCCAAGTTCACAATTACCTCTACCCTGTACAAAGAAAACCCCTCAAACTGTTACTCCAACACTACTACTAGATGATGGGGTCAAATATGGCCATCCCCCAATGTGAAGCAGCAGAAAACAATTGAGAGAAGTATATGTACACAAAAATATAAAGAAAACAAAAAAAGACTTCATCACTAAAGAAGTCCACTTCAAAAGGATCTTAGTTATCTTCAAAATTGCAGACAGCCCAAGCTTTACTTACCCCACTGCTCGTCTTCACTGGATATTATGCATATTACACAACAAACAAAAAGAAAGCATGGGATTAGGATTCTGTATGTCTCAAAGGACAAATAAACCTAACCCAGGGAAGAACTAATTAGAGAAATGAACCTGGTTTGGGGCCTCCTGAACACGGGATGGTCTCGGCCACATCATTGACCCGTGTTACTGCTAAACCTGGTCGAAGTTCATGTGAAGTCAATTGGATCTGGCAATAAGCTGTACGTAACCGATTGTAAATATCTTCGAATCTATCACCATTCTCATCCTCTCTATCCATGTCTATCAAAACCTGTGTAGGTGTTAACCAACTTAGTCAAATGTAAATGTTATGGGAGAAAACCCCACAAAAGAAAACACAACACTATGAGCCTAATCAACTTGGTTAGTCTACCTGGGCAGCAGGTTTTTTAAAAACAGGCTGAAACCGTTGTCTGCAATATTCACTAAACAGAAGTGTGCAAACTATGAGGGGAATGGTAAATCCTGATGCAACTGGGGAGTCCTTGATCCCGAAAACTCCAAGAGCTATAATCTGGGTCAACACCAACGAAAACACTGTTGTATTGTGCACAATAGGCCAGAACAGTCCACCACTGTCATATTTCTTTAAATAAACGTTGAGAATCTGGATAGCAAAGAATAAGATCTTTTAGATAAAAGATACATTTTCACAAATGGAATCAGGTCAAATGGACGCATAGAGTTACCTGGTTTTTGTATATGAGGTAAGCCATAAAGAAATAGAACAACAAAAATGGCAGTATCAAAGGTGCCATGATCGAACAGCTGAAGCCTATGAGTACGAATAAGAGAACTCTTGGGACTTCTGTGTGGTAGGGGAAGGCCATAAGCCAATCATGTGCATCTTCATAGTTTCTGAGGATGAACTTCTTGACCAGGTTGCAAACAAATGTGAAGAGTTGCATCAGTTCACAAGCCAAACCCGTCCACCCTGATGTGAAAACGTAGGTCATGAAGAAGCTAGCCTGCATATATATTTTGGCGATAACAAAGTAAAATAAGGATAAATCGTGTGAAGTTATAACATGATGAACTACATATGGAAATATCACGTCCCAATTTGGATTTTGCTAGAATAGGAATTGTTATTGCTGAAAAAATAGGTAATCAGTTGTTGGCCTTTATAGTCCCAATACTAAGTTGTTTTACAAATTTGACCTGGATGTGTTCCCATCGGAGTTACATGCTTAATTATCACAACATCAATGACTCACATGCCATAAGAGCCATCTTACGCCGCTCAATCACATCATAATTAAATAATCTCGACATATTTAAGTTCCAAATGATAGATGCATCGTAAAATCAAGAGATGTGAAATAGCGTATGTTAGCATCAGTAACATTAAGACATTCATAACTAAAATAACTACAAAAATCAGAAGTGAAAAATAAATTCCACTGAACTCTTAAGAATACAAAAGTCACCTGAGTGGGTATCGCTTTGGCAAGTTCCAGTGGTATGTCTCTTACACTGGAGAAGACACTTAATTGACTAATAACGGAACCTGAGAGAACATTGACAAAGAACACATTCAAAATGGTGAAGTACAAGATTTTCAAGCATGCACTCTTTTTTCGTCCACTTCTGGAGATGGGTGCCTCTATTGCCGAAAACAACATCATTGTTGGTGGCACAGTATACAGAGATAGCGTTAAGATCACACTAGGCAAGTAACCTGTCACCACATGATTTATATAGTCTCTGCATGAAGAGAGCAAAATGGTTAAGCTAAAGAATCACTTCATTCCACAAAGGGAATGCAAGTAGTACAAAGAAGTTGTAATGGCCTACAAACATCAATAATGCCACATGTAAGCTTACTTTTTTAAAAGACCTCGCAGGAAGGGGAAAGTCTTTGATAGTTTATCTAGTTGAGTCAAGCCTTGAACAAATGTCACTGGAACGAGAAATAGAAACATGAAAACTATTGCAGCTAGAAGTGTGGCTATCTTTCGGAGCCAGAGCTGCTTGTAGGGGATAGACAAGCTTGACCATAAAACATCATGTGGTTCGGGGGCTTGTTCTGTCACCCACAACATTGGATTTGTAGTCTGAAGCATCTGTGTGGCGACGACAGCAGCAAAACGAGTTTTGAAGAAGACAAAAGCAACAGGGCACTCCTGTGTTTACCACCAAAACATAAATGAGCCAATTTGCAATTGGTTTTGAAAATAGTGATAAGTGATAGCAGAAGGATTTCATGAAAAAAGATAATAAGATATATGCATATGTAAGTATGCAACCAATAACAATGAATATAAAGAAACATCCATTTAGTTACGTTATGATAGAGGTGCACGCGCAACAAACTCCTATGAGATGAATGATCATGATGAATATTATAAAATCTATCCATTTTAAATCTCACCTACGCATAGAAATCATCACTTATGCAAACATTTAGTGCCAACGTACCAAACAGGACCCCCTTGGGACTCTACCAGTCATGGAGTTCACTGATAAAATTATTTAAGCAAATCATGTATCTATTATCACAATAATACTCAGATAGAAGAGAAATAAAAAAGAGAACAAATATTGAAAGCAAGGAAAACAAGCAGTGTGGCCTTAGATTCTGGTTGTCGTGACATTTTTGTATACCTTCTTAATCAACAGAAGAATATCTACAGCTACTAGGATTCCAAACAATCTAAACTTTACGAAATTCATGAGATCTTGTCTAGTCTGAGACATTTCTATATTATATCACATGAGTGGATCCCCAATTGTAACTTATTCATCCCTAGATTTTAGCACCCATCTTGAAGGGATTGTTTTTCAGGGTTTACCCAATAGTATATGAGAAGCCAATTAGCAGCATGAACGATATTATTATGATAAATCTATGAAAAATGGGGATACGTAAATGGCAAGACATAATTTCAAAAGGGAATGTAACAACTAAAAGATCTGAAATGAGAATCTTAGGCAATAAGTGTGCTTATGCATAGACCTAATCAACTAATCAGGAAGAATATATCATGAGGCAACTAGAACGAATAATAAACTTGTTTTGTTAAATTGAGGGGATGCCACGAGGTACAAGTATGGTTAAGCTAGGTGGAAAGTCTGAGGCAAAGAATACCAAAACAGGTGCATGCAGTGTCAAGATTCTTACATTATCTGGTGGAGCAATTTCAAAATCAGAATATCTGATACTCTCATCACCACTTTCTGGTTGGTCAGATAGAATGTGAAAGGAAAGTGTACTTGAGGTACAAAAACAAAATGGCTTTAAACTTCGTCCATCAGATGAAACAGCACTAAGCATCTTGCACATCTTCTCCGCCTCATCCTTCAAAGAGATCATCCCCATAAATCACAAAATGGCACTAAATAGTGAAACCGATTTAAGCAAGGGGAACACAAAGCTTAAAGTCTAAAACACATGTATGTAACCCGTGCTCACAATTGCATATTAGACTAAACCGAGCTGAAAAAATACGACCCACAAGACCTCGGATGTCGGATGCATACATACTAAATTGTACTTTTTTTGAATGAAAACTACGAACGAAAATAAGAAAGAATTCAGTTTCACACAAGAAGCAAACCGGATGCAGCTGAACATAAGGGGAAACCCTACGACATGTATGTTTTCTATTTCAAAAAATGTTGCCCAACCTTTGAAACTCAAAGTAGGTAGATGTTTTTATCCCTCGTTACTACTCAACATACCCCCTTGGGGATTAGAAATTTTCTTAGGACAGTTTTTTATCATCATAATTTAAGTGGGTAAACCTTCCATACCATGAAAGCATAAAAAAATTTACACAGAATGCATCACATATTGAATAAGTGTGGTTACTCCACCTGCACAAATGTTAATGTGCTAGATTGTAATAATATAAAGAGTATTGAAAGGAGGAATAAGATGAAATCTTATACATGTCATCGATATAAAAAAAGGCACAATAAATCAAGAATTTAGAGATATTAAACAAAGCACTTGTTAAAGCAAATAATCTATACATGATAAAAAAAACAAAGTATTCAGAATAGTAACAAAAAACTCATTCCAAGGATATAAATGCCAACAATGATGCTGCCATCCACCAACAACGATTTCAAACTAAAAGAAGATGAGGAGAACATACAGTTAAACCATGAAATACATGTACGGAGTGTATAATAGTCGGGGAACAAAGCAAATAGTAATAACCAAAGAGTGCATTTATGGTGCCTTGCAAGTCACTGTAACTTGCAATTTACGGTCGACCTAATATGTTGTTTCAGTGTAAAAACAGAATCATGGTGCCTACTTTGGAGATTCATATCGTAAAATTGGCTCGATGGAAATTGGAGATTAATGGCTTATTTTGAAGCTGGAGTGTCCCTCTAAACATTGAAGTGCTTGAGAACTTGATAGGATGTCCAGAAGACCATTTTTGAACCTAATCAAAAGGCTATGCCAAAACTGGGAAACTGCTTGAAAATGGATGTCTGGGAACACGTTTGTGAAGCCTACTTTGGAGCTCAATTCAAGAAGCATGGATGAGAGTCGAGTTCAGGGCCTCTACCACATGAAAGTAGCTATGTTTAATACAAAGGCAAGGCATTGGATGAAATATTTGATATATGTAAGGCTTTAAACAAAAGGCTCAAAGTTTCTACGAAGTAAGTTGCCTTCTTGCACAAGCAAGCTACCACAAAAACACCCTTCGTAGCAACTTCTAGCCTTTTCTTGAAGCCTTCCAGATATCCAATCTTTCATCCAATGCCTTGCCTTTGTAGACAAACATACCGAATTTCACGTGGTAGAGACCCCTGGACTCGACTCTCATATATGCTTCAAAACAAGCCATTTTCACAAACACGTGGTAGAGACCCCTAGACTCGAATTAAGCTCCAAATTAGCCTTCACAAACACGTTCCCAGACTTAGCCATTTTCAGGCAGTTTCTCAGTTTTGGCATAGCCTTTTGATCATGTTCAAAAAAGGTCTTCTGGACTTCCTATAGAGCTCCCAAGCACTTCAATATGTAGAGGGACACTCCAGCTTCAAAACAAGCCATTAATCTCCAATTTTCATCGAACCAATTATAATATATGAATCTCCAAAGTACGCACCATGAAACTTTTTTTACACTGAAACAACATATTAGGTCGACCTAATTCTAACTTAGATCGACCGAAAAGTGCAAGTTATGGTGACTTACAAGTCATTGTAGCAAAGTCCAAAAATTTAATGTACATACTCACCATCAATTTTTGGACAACACCAGAGTGGTGTACCATCTGGTGCGCCAAGTAGTTTGATGGATAATAAGTTGTAAAGAATTTTTTCAGTGTATGACTATATGATTCTCCTGGAACAAATGGAATTGATCGAACTAGCACAGTAAAATGGCTGGAGTTTGTCGGTGAACCTCTTAGGTGTGTCAGCCTCATCTTCGTGATGCTCTTATATTCCTGGATAAAAGGGCCAATGGTTAAATGATAAATTTATGTGAAGGAAAGGAAACTGCCTACTACTACCAGAAAAGAAAATAGCGAAATTCCATATGTTGGATTCCTTACAAAGTATAGAAGAGCGCAAGTTGTACAAGATATTGTGTATAATGCAAGACAATGAGCCCAAAGCCTGAAAATGCAATAGAGGGCAATTGGTAAACCACCTATTTGTAAAATCATATTAGTAATCAATTGCATAAACTTCCAATGATAATTAGGAAAGAAAGCCAAACTTTCTCAAGTTAAGATAAAAACATTCTTGGTTTCTCCTAGTGGAATATCGTGCAACTCATTTTTGTAAAAATATCATGTATATGCACTCCTTGATGTTCTTCAAATAGAAATATGGGTAACACATGCCACTAAATCAATAGATTTGTTTGGACAAGCAAAAGCATTGTTCAGAAGAACAAAAGCTTCTACTTTGTTGTGTAATTTTGGACCCAGTCACACGAGCTAAAGACTAGGAAGAAACAGTTCAAGCTTGACAAAATATTTTTGGTAGGTATGGTTTCTGCAAAAATTTAATCATAGTATGTCGTAGTATCTAGATAAAGATCATACCATACTGAACCTTCCTGGACATTTCCGATTGTGAAAACATCCAAAGATTCTGCTCCAAGCCGCTTATGTGCCATTTCTTTCCCATAGTAATTCACTGGAAGAACTAGAAACATACAAATGACAGCAGCAATAGAGAATATCCGGATACTGCAGAAGAAAGACAAGAAGATAAGCATTAGGTGCAATCAGATGAAACTTTTTGCTTGAATTGGTAATGATAAAAAATAATTTAAAATCAATAGGAAAATAAAAGGAACTTTGCGTGCTCATTTGGTAAATGCTTCAAACTTCATACTATCATACAATACTATAAAAATCAAGAATTGGTGGAAAGGTCCAATGTACCTGAAGATAAGTATCCTCTGAAAAACAACAGCATCCAACCCACCAACGGTCAAAATTTCATCTTCAGTTGTTTCCCAAGCTTTAATCAACCAGCTAGTGGACGGAACAAACCTCTCCAAGGAGAAAGGATCATTGCTTCTCAACTGCACGGACGCGAGCCTCCGACCGAAATAGACAATTCTATTGCTGGGCTGTTTTCTTAGTACAGAGTAGAGTGTGAAAAGCAACACGCACAAAGCTATATTGATTCCCGCCGAAGTCAAAAGGGCGGCAATGTCCATACTCAACTACTATTCTGCACAGAGTTACAAAATTTCATCACCCTACCACAATCACTTGACACTGAAGAAAATTTTTCATATTAAGAATAAACCAAATGATCAAAGTTGTCTTCCACTTTTGTCACAGTACAAATTTCCTTCACTATCCTCATTGCAAAAAGTTCTACTTAACACAGTTTTTAAGGCTCCCAAGAAAGAACGTCGACCAAAATCCAGGGAGAATTCATAGTACTTCGGCGAAGTGTGGAGAGAAATAAAAAATTCCTAATTCTTAAATAAACCTTTCCAACCCTCTCGTTCATGTTCTCACGTAAGATCCTTGTCAACCATTACCCAAAACACAAAATCACTTATTACTAGGCACACGAGCCCAAATAAGAGCATTGATGCCCTTCAAAACCCATTTTTACCTCATAGATTCCACAATCGAGAAACGAGCATTCAAGAACAAAATAGCGAATCGCTAAAACGACAAATGGTGAAATATGGTTGACGTAAAAAGACGCGGGAAAAAGATCAACGAGGACTCACCGTTCAGGTCAGGATTCTTCAACGCAAAAAGGTAGATGAAGAAGAAAGCATGGAAGCAATAATTTATCAGAGATTTGTGTGGTGGTAGGCTTGTACGCCATTACCACGCCTCTCCTTTCTTTCTTTTGTTTTAACTTTGCATTCAATTCAAATGACTTGTTCCTTTTGGTTTGGTTTCCTTTTAATCCAATCGATTACATATATGATTTTCGAAAGGAAAACTGGAAACCAAAATCAAAAGCAACGCAAATCCAGAAAGGGTTTCGGGAAGAAGAAATCTAGGACAGGCAAGATAAACTTTTATTACCACTATAGTTTTGAATTATGGTGGACATAATTATCGAAAACAATATGTTGGACAAACATAATCTTATTAATATTTATTATCAAAGTATCTTTATTATGAAAGGAATTTCAAATCACTCGTAATAATTTTATTACACTGTTTCTTTCTCTCTCCTTGTATAGACAAGCTGGCACTTTTACGGTTCATATTCTTTGGGGGAATTCTTCATTTGTTCTCCCTTTTCTTTATGAGAAATTAATTTTTTTATTAATTAAGCAATACACAAGACACTTTACGTTATATCACATTACAGTGGAACTCAGATCACGACGTTGTGTGGAGTAGTGGTGTGCATTCAGATCGGACCAAATTCAGGAGAATCGCGATCCAATAGTAAGACACTTCTATGGACCAAGGACCAGACCGATAATGCATATGGTCCTCTTTGGTCCACTTTTCAAGTATTATATAATTTTTAAAACCAAAGACCAAACTATATGTTATAAACGCGCTGCTACGGATCGTGAAATCGCTGGAATCGACAAAGCAAGAATACGAAAGCGAGAATCAAAAAACACAGACACACGATTTACGTGGTTCACTAACACGATGTGTGTTAGCTACGTCCACGGGCGAGAGAGAGCCAGTTTCACTATATCAAAGAGATTACAGATTACAGAGGAGTATGAGAAGTATTTATAGTACTTCTCCTTGTGGGTCTAAACCTAATCCAATCTGACAAAGGAAACAGTTACAGACCAGGCCCAGAACCCGAACCCAAATAACAGCGAGACCTCCGATTACCAGTCGTAGCGGCTGATAGTCCGATTCAAGTCACATCAATACTATATTATACTCGGTTTGGTGTGATCTAGTCCAAAATTCGGTTTGGTCCAGACAGAACCGTTGAACAACCCTAGTGTGGATAATGCAGCCTGTGCGGTTAACTTTTTTATTATTGGGGAACGACATATTAGGTCGCCAAGTGGATGTAATTTGAGAATGGCAGGCCCAAGGATGCCAAGCCTATTTCATAGTGTTAAAAAAAGATTGGATAAAGTACAATATTACACTACGAAGATCCATAACAAATACAATCTTCTTCCTTTTTAAAATTAGGACCATCTTTAAGAAGTTGTTTCCAAGTTCAAAATTTTGAATTTTTATTTGACATAATAGCCTCATCAAAAGTGATCTTCCTTCAATAATGAGTGTGAAAATTTCAAATCTTCTTGATCAAAGGCCCTAATCTAGTTTTAGGTAGAATTCATCATTTTAATTAAATAATATGTTCATTATTTTAATATAGGTACTAGTAATTAATTAAAAAGAATATTTTATAATATTTTTTTTTGTTAATTATGTTGTTATCTATGACAAGAAAAAAAAATAATTGGTTTAGATAACCATAGATTCATCACATGTATATCACATTGAGTTATTCCATCATCTATTCTTCCAAATTTAATCATAATGAGGGGTGTTATTAACAGTTCAGTGTTCATTCAGTAATCAGAATGAGCCGTGTCATCTATTGTTAATAAAGATTTAACCATACTATTGCATAAGGAATCAGTTTGAGCTTCTAAAAAGGAACTCATAAACTTGGTCATTCTACTCATCCACCATTCAAACTTCTTCCTTGAAAATAAAATCATTCTACCTTCATATATCTCTCTAGCCCCCCAAAATTATTTTGCGTTCATGGATCTCCTGTTAGAGAAACTGATGAGTGCATAAGGAAGATGATAAGAGGCAAAGAGAAGTTGATGATTAAAAATGAGAGTATAAGTGCCAACTTGAACGCGAACGTACAGAGATGTTCATGATGTACGGAATTATCATGCACCAACATCAAGCAACGTCATCTTGTTAGTGGCAATCCAAAACCAAAGCCTACTCTTTATAGTTGGCTTTTCCATCATTGCCCGTTATCGAGCCTTATGTTTTTGTTTTGCATAATTGAAGAATACTTTTTGATCTTTCATCCACTCTTCAATCTTAGGGCTTCCGTATCAAGTCAAATGTTGAGTGAATTAGAAAATATTCCAAGAGTTTGATGATGAGAATTGAAATTGAACCCAACTGGCACCAGCCATATTTAGTGGGTGACGGATAAAACCTATTGCACCAACCTCTTCCCTTATGTGAAGTTGCACCTTTGGTCCGTTTTACCTATTCAATTTGCACAAAGCAATCTAGTTCTTCTCGATTGATTCCAAGTCGCGTAACTCTAATAATCACAAGTAGGATTTAGCTTGTAACAAGAGGCATCAGAGCCTGGTTCAAACACAGTGGCGAGACCTTAGGCTCGAGGACCAGTTACCTTGAGAACAAGATCAAAAGACCCCATCGATCGTCAACAACCAGAGTCAGAATCAGAATCAAAAGTAGAGCCTGAATTTGAGACTATATTGAATGATCAACCAATGGCGGGTCAGCAAATTAATATGACGGATTTGTTACAAACGATGATTGCTCAAGTCGATGCAAGTTTCTAGGTTCAATTCGACCAACTCAAACAGTAGAATGAGCGGAAGTTTGACGTGCTTGCGCCACCGGAGACTGGACCGAAAACATGGGGCCCTCATGATTAGGAAATCCCAGCAAGCGACCTTGATTTGCTGGGAGACTCGAAAAGCTTGAACGGCGGTTGATTGTGGTCGAACCAATCAAGACCGGCAGCGTCGAGATAGGCGTGACCATCAACCACCTGAAAATGAGCTAGCAATTCCTCGGGGAATTAAACTCTCGATTCCACCATTTCAGGGGACGACGAACACTATTGCATACATGGATTGTGGAAGGAAACTCATCCTTTTCTTCCAATGTGGAACTTATAGCAAACTGCAGAAAGTAGCACTGCTACTTACGAGTTTTTTGATTACACTGCTCAATGGTGGAGCAGGTTTGTCTTTAGCTATGGAGAAACTTCAACCTAAATTTACAACCTAGACGCAGCTATGAGGATTGATGAGAGACCGGTTTGTCCCTGCATACTACCAAAGGGATCTTCACAAATCTTTTCAAGGAATCCGACAAGGATCCAGGAGCGTTTAAGATGATTTTGGAGTGGTAGAGTTGCTCTTAATGTTGGCTGACGTCAGGGAAGACAGGGAGGCCACCATTACAAGATTTCTCCATGGGTTGAGTCACGAGATTCCTTAGGAAGTAGAACTAAGGTCATTTGTCGATCTGGAACATGTGTTGCACCTTCTCGTCTAGGTGGAGAAGCAGCAGAAGATGGCAACTGTCAGAAGATTCTCTCAGACAGTCAAACTAGCAGCAGAGTCGAATTTCAACTCCAATTCATCTCAATTACGGCTGGAAAACTATGAAACAACTCATAGGAATGTTGCTCGAACTTCAACGTAGCTATTTGGAGGCATTTAGTGCTTTAAATGTCATGGCCAAGGACATAGGTCCAATCAATGTCCAAATCTTATGACCTTGATCCTGCGAGATGTTGAGTACGTCTCTGATGATGAAAACAAAGGTCCAATTGTGCATACTGACTCGTCGTAGGAGGAAGTAGATGAGGAAATTGAGGTGGAGTGTGGAACTTTTCTATCAAGAACCAACCTCAGAGCCTTAACGATGGAAGATAAGACGAATGATGATAAGAGAACCAACCTGTTTCACACGAAGTGTCTCATCAACGATAAGTGTTTGTCGGTGGTCTTCGACGGTGGAAGCTGCACAAACGTGATTAGTCTCGAAGCCATCAAGAAATTGTGACTAGAGACAATCAACATGCTAACCGTCTTGCGAAGGACTAAGATTCCTCGACCAATCGAAAAGGTCGTCACCTGTTTTTAGTCCGTGATGAGGCAGGGGAGGAAAGAGAGTGAATTGGTCGGAAAGTTGGGGAACGACCTGGGTCAAGCCAGCTATGCCAAAACTTTTGCTTTCAACCGAAGAATGCGTGGAGACAAGAAAATTAGGCCAAAATGCTTTGAATTGGATACGCCCAATTCGCCCAGTTCGGGATGCCTACTTTGAGGGCTTATTCGAGACGATTGGGGTACAATCAAAGGAAGTTCGAAGTTGGAGAATGAAGTTGGAGACTTGTTGAAGAAACGACTAAATTCTAATTGGCTCGACGCTCCTTGGAAAGCTTTGAACGAGAGCCTCTAAGTGGCTATGGAGGCTAAGTTCATTACTTGCGCAGGAAGTCAACTACTTCTGTGTTAAGCAACCGAGATTTCTTTCTTTTTCTGATTTGGATTACTGTTTCCTTGTTAGAATTTGAACTAGTTTTTATTCTTTATTAGATTAGAGTAAAATTTTAGTTTGTTGTTTGCTATTTAAAGACTTGAAAACCTTGATGTAAACTTAGTTTTGAGTTGAATGAGAAAAGTGACTTTTCAGCAAACCCTTCGTTGTTGGTCATGCTCAAGCATCATTTTGTGCTTCTTATCGATTGAAAACCACCTCAATCGTGGTCGAGCTTCGATCATAACCCAATCGAGTCTTTTCCCTTGTGAGAAGTTGCACCTTTGGTTCGTTTTATCTTTTCAATTTGCACAAATCAATCTAGTTCTTCTCGATTGATTCCAAGCCACGTAACTCTGATAATCACAAGCAGGATTTGGCTTGTAACACCATCCCTTGGTTAAACTGGTGTCCGGTGGTACGGGGGAAAGAAATTGTTCCATAACTTTGAAGAATGTTGAAGTATATCCCAATAATAATTTAACTTACAATGTTTTTTTGGCATCCGCTAAGAAAATGGTTTTCGCCGGTCAACATATACAATTAATTTAAGTATATTAATGAGTTTAACCAAACTAACTACTTAATTGAATGATAAGTATTATTAGAACTTTGAATAACCATATCACTTAGGTTTTCTTTGCTTATTAGTAACACGCTTGCTCTCCAATCCATGTATCCCTCAATCCATATTGATCCATGAATCCACCAATCTATGGATCCAATCCCTTTGCCCTTCTATGAAAGATAGACATAGTCAAGTGACTCCTCTCCTTAGTCACCTGATCATATCCCCTACGCTAAGATCATCCACAATGGTTATTATAGCTATAATGTCAAATTTTGGTGCTATATTTGGCCTTTTACTTACACTAAAATGGGATTTGCTCCAATAGGAAGAGTCAAACTATCAAATATCTCTAGTTTATATTTTTTCTTGCTCTAATATAGTGTAATGAAAATTTTATCATTTTATTTAGACAATTGGTTCATTTTATTTAGATAGGTAGTATAATTATTAAGACAAATATTTTAATAATTTTTTAATTTGAACATATATTTTTTTATTATTAAATATGTTGTTATCAATAACGTAAACATAAGAATTTGTTCAGATGGTTATAGATTAATTACTTATTTGTAAGAATGAGTTGTGTCATCAACTGCTCCGTCCAATTTTATTTTTAATGAATAATCCCCTCCCCCACCATTCTTTTCCATTATGTTCTTTCTTTTTTCATTTCTCCACCGAGAGGAAACCGAGAGCAGAGCAGCGCGCGGTGAGAACAGGGGAGCTCGGAGAGAAATTCCAAAGCTCCAATCTTTAGCCCTAGTGATCAAAAAATCCCGTAAGTAATGCCTAATTCATCTATACATCGTGATTTATCGATCTAGAGTTTTAAAATAAGTTTTTGGTTCAGGAATTTCTTGAATTCCCGATAAGCCAAATTAGGGTTTCGGAGTATCCGGAAGCTGGATTAAGCCCAAATTCCATATACGAGCTTCCTGCAGCGAGGTAATCAATCTTCTAGTTCTAATCCCTGAATTTCGGCAATTATTTAGGTCGGGGTCCTAATCGTTGAATTTAGCTCCGGCCAGGGTTTGATGTGCTTTTATCAAGAATTTGACCCGGAGCCTAGAACTAATATTGACAGGGATACTGTAGGGGATATTAGGACGGTCTCGGATTTTAATTCGGGGTTCGTTCGTGAAAATTGACGTTTTAGTACGGGAAGGTTGAACCGGTGTTTGAACGACCAGAACTGGTGAGGGATTAGCACGACATACCGGGTTTGTCGTATCACGATAATTATATTGATGCTTAGAATTGACCTAGGTGAATTAGAATGGCATGATTAGGGTTGTATGGACTTTTATGCTATATGATGAACCATGGATTGTTGTATGATATTATTGACTTGCCCTATCCGATATGGACCTTGTTTATGTTGGTGATTGCATACATGTTGCCATTTGTGGCTTAACCGTTGATATGACTTCATGGTTGTTCGATCAGGTGTTTTGACATGGTGTGGTATTGTGGTTGTATTTGGATTCACAAGTGGGGGAAATAAACTTCCCAGGGTGATATTATGATGTTTAAGGAGGATGACTTGCACGAGGGTTCATCCCGAGGAAGTGCAATTATACGACTTCTGATTTACCTATGTTGAGCCAATTATGGCCAGGTCAAGTACATGTGCAAGTAACAAATTATGATTAAGCAAGATGAGATATGAATCATGTATCAGGATACCAAATATGAGTGTTGTGGTCTCACGGTCAACTACATAGTAATTAGGGCTCCCTACGCTATTACTCTATTATGATAAGTATGATAGTCACACCTCTCATGTGGTGGTGACTGAAGATTTCTTACGAGATATGACCACACCCAGAGTGGTGTCGGGTTATGACTACACCCATAGTGGTGTGGGGTATGTATGACCACATCCGACGGGATGTTGGGGTATGTATGACTACATCTGACGGGATGTGGGGTATGTTGCCCGGGAGAGTTATTAGCATGGGAGTAGCCAGGCGCCTATAAGTAAAACATGATAAGATGCATATGCATAAGTCAAGGTGGTTGAGTCTTTTGCCTATTGGGATGTCGGATGGCTGAGGTCCGATCCTAGTATTTTTGGTATGCTTTGTTACATGGTTGTCACGCCGGCCGGCATGCCACCGGTTGTACCGGGTTCAACCGGTACCGGTCATAAAAATGGCGTGACATCACCGGTATGACTGGCATGATCGATATACGAATCTCTAAGTAAAATGACCTTATTTTAGAGAATTTAATGGATAAAAATTATTTTATTATTTATTTTATGAGTATAAAAGTTAAATATTGATGTTATTTGTTGGATTCAAATATAAATGTTTAGGTATTGACGTTAAATGTCATGTTCAAATATGAGTATTTATAATTTTATTTGTAATATTGACTGGCATGAACTGACACAAACCGGTATGTGCCACCAGTTGAACCATTCCACTTGCTAAACCGGCACACTGGCATAAACCGGTTTGACAACCTTGCTTTGTTATGAACTCACGATGCTATGATTATCTCACTCAGCTATGAGCTGACCCTCTTTTATTCTTCTTCTCTGCTTATGCTATGTGTAAGCGCGTCATCAGCAGTAGTAGATAAGTGTTAGGTGGGAGAGGATCTAGAGTTGAAGCCAGGATGAGGTATGGTCTTCAACTATTCTGTGCTTGGACTACTACTCGGGATTTTGGCCAGTGATCCACACCATTTTGTAAAAATGTTTTGAGAACGTTTTTCATGTGCATACTAGCTTCTGATGTAGTGTGAGATATCCACAGGTGTGGAAAGTTGATGATATGTGTATATGTTGTGTAACTGTGTAAGTTGTGACGATTATGGTATGTAAAAGTATGGTATGCAGTTGTGGAGTATGAAAAGTGTGACTATGGCTATGAAAAGCCAATGCATATGGTTGTGAGTATATATGTTTGTGATGAATTATTTTGCAGGATAAGTTGCAAGAACTGTTAGCCCATTACGCGAGTAATTCATGTCGAAATTTTATTTGTGTAAATTTTGATAATTAATGTAACAGCCGAGATTAATTCCGCTGCAATTGTATGAACAATATGATTAGATAATACGTATAGGCCATAGGGTAGGGTGTTACAAACTATCCATGCAACTTTAATAAGAATGAATTGCGCCAACAATTGTATATCCACCATTGATCATACTATTGCATAATGAATTTTTTTTTTCTTCATAAATGAATCATCAAACATGGTCATTTTTATTCATCCGCCTTTGAACTTTCAATCATGAAAAAAAAAATTCAAGAATTCCCCTAACATAAAAGCTGATGAGAGTTAGAGAGAAGATAGTGACATGCAAAGGAAAGCTAATTATATGTAATGAGAATATGAGAGTCAACGTGAGCGTGTTGTCGTGAACCATACAAAGATGTTCATGATGTACGGGAATTCCCTCATCACATGCAATAAACAAACGACCTCGTATTACAATTAGGAGGCAGATTGTTGCAAAAAAACACTAAGGGGAAGAAATCCAATTTTTGATGACAGAAATTGGTTCATCCCCGGTTTTAATCTCTTTGATTTCTTAAAATCGAGCAATTCAATCCGGCAGGAAAAAAATCCAAATTAATTAAATACGGGAAAGACTAAAAAGAAAGAGAAAGTCCGTTAATGAAATTTTCACTTTACGCTTCCTCGTGTGTTACTCAACACAGAGCTACAAATAAAACATTGTAACTGTTGGTCTAAAATACAGATCAAAAGGGTTGCCATGGAACAGAGAACGATGATGAGACGCTGGTTTGAAACAGCAAGGCGAGCAGAAGGACCAGGTGATGATGATGATGATGAGAACGGGGAAGAAGGACCAGAAGGCGTTGCACCGAAAATTGTTGCACCATTTGAGTTCGTGGTGTTGAGTATTGACGAGCTTGTGCTGTAGTAATAATTCAAACGTTAAGTGAACAAATGAAAATAAAGATGAGAGAACAAGGGCAAAAGGCAGAGGAAGTAAACTTCACCTAGTTGAGGGAAGTTGGCATGTCCCCGTGCCTGATATGCATTTGATCAAAGTAAATTGGTTACGAAAGGATCAAATATTCAATTTTATAAACTAAATAAAATTTGGCCAAAATTTGATTATCTAAAACTTGAGTTGGATACCAAAACTCCCGTAACAAACAAACATTATACTAATAATTCATAACCGTGGTGACGATTTATAAGATGTGAATTTGGGTTTCTCAGATCCGAACAAAACCAAACCGGTCTAATATTTTTATATTTATATGCCATCAATATGAAGAACCACACTCTTATCTACGATATTGATGATCAACCAACTTTTTATGTTTATCCTTTCTATATCAATATCCTTTCCATTCCAACATTGTTAATATTATATATGTAATTCAAATTTATTGTTCGCATATTTATTTTAAAATTTTGATATTTGATATTTTGTTTCTTTCTTCCAAACATGAGTTTCTTATTTTATTTTTTTTGGTGGAACCCAAACTTGAGTTTCTAGTCACACATTACAATTTATTAAATTTTACATTTTTGTACCAAAAATTATTTTCATTCCAATTTAGTATATAAAATTATATTACTTTAGAAACCCTTCCATCAATTTGGTGGTAAAATTATATTTTAATATCTATAATATTTTGAAACTTTTATAGTACCTAAACTTAAAATTTTAGCATTTATCCTAATTATTGCTACGAGGAATTTCAAAATAGTAGTTATTTCAAATTCACCCGTATATATACATATTCTAATAAATGATTTAATATTGCAAATTCCCACTTTCAAATATTAAACCCAGATCATTTTATTCAAATGCAGCTTTATACTTTTTAATGAATACCGTTACGCTGCCGGGTGCCGCTTTAGCACCCTAGACCCTGGCGCAATTGAGCAAATAAATAGTGAAGCAAAAAGGATGGCAGAAGAAGAAAACAAAAATTAGGGAACTAACTTGGATTGGTGCTGGTAACAACAGCGGTGCCTCCAAAATTACAGCTGGTGGGCAAAGGATTCTTCTGGTAATAACTGTTGAATGCATAGGAAGCATGGTCCCTCAGCGTATTGGGTTTGTAGCAGCTCCCCGCCGGCTGGATCCCGGAGCAATCAGCGCCGCCGTACCCGCACGCGTAATCCAGAGCCACCTGCAGAGCCGTCGACGACGCGCTCTGGCTCGCCACGCACCAGCTCGCTCCCGGCGGAGACGTGCCTGCAGCTGTTGTCGCCGCCCCAGCAGCCGGAGTTATCGTCGGACCACCAATGGTGGCCGGGGCCGCGGAATCCGGCTGTGAATCCGGGTTAAGGATTGGAACAGCTGGATTGGTACTCGGGACTGTGGTGATTGGAGCCATGATGTCCTTCCGACCGCCGCGAAAGTTGAAATTGGCCTGCTCATGTATTGTCGTCGTTGCGATTCTCGAGAAACCCAAACCTGAATTAGCAAACGACAATATGAGAAAGGCATTATTGAGAGACAGAAAGAGGACAACGTACGTAAAACCGGATAGAAAAAGCTGTCGAAATTCAAAACAGCCCGACTTTTGGCAGAAAGCAGAAGCCGGGTACACATTTGGGCAGTTGGCTTGTTGAACATTTCGAAAGAGAAGAGGGGGAAAATTGAAGAGATCAATGAGAGATGACCTGTAGAAACAGAGGAAGTGCCACACAGGAAGATTATCAGAAAGCAGAGAACTCTACCAAAGCCCATATGCTCAAAACTCAAAACACCAGTACTATTCTGTCTACTTCTTCTTCTTCTTCTTGTTCAATTTTATGCATAAATCACAGGTGGTTTGGTTGTGCACAGGAAGCAGCAAAGTATATCTTTGAAGCTAAGTCAGGGGAATGGTGAGGTTGGTTGGAAGAACAGAGTATTGAGGAAGTGGTAAAAGAATTTGTTGGTTTGGAGTCGGATAGGTAGTTGGAGAGTGAAACTAGTGGAAGAGATGAGAAAGAGGCCCCCAGAGGCAGAGGGGACATTTGGGGTAGGGCATTAGTGTCAAATAGAAAAGAGTCAAGCAACAGTGGCAGTGGCCAGCAAATGAAAATAGGAAAAAGAGAAACAAGAAGAGGGAAAGAAAGTATTGAGAATGAAATAAAAATAGGAGGGAATGGGAAAAAAAGAAGTGGAGTTCTTGTAAAAGTCGTAAGGTTTTTTTTTTTTTTTTTTTTTTTTTGACAAACGTAAAAGTCGTAAGGTAGAGGGGCTCTTTTGGACTTTAAGCTGGTGAGTGATCTCTGTAATCATTACTGCTGATGTGCCATCCACTCTTGCTAGTAATTTTTTTTTATAATGGCACTCTTACAATTCATCCCAAGTCCTAACCCACAATCTTCCACTTAGGAGGTTCAATTGTTGTGTTTCAATGTTTCCCCTTCACTTTTAGGTCGCAGGACTTATCCCTACTAAAAAAGAGAGTGATGTTGTTTCTAATACCAAAAATAAAATAAAAATGCCAAGTGGTACTTTCACCGGCTGATTATTTAGAATTCTGCCAAAAGTGAACTCTAAATCTCTAATCATATCTCCCTTAAAATGAAGGGGAAAAATTAAAAACAAAAAAGAAGGGAACTCTCATCATATCAGAACCATTTAGAAGTAATACACTTGTGCTTAGGATAATAGGGGGGAGCTACTAGAAGTAATCTCTATTTGATTGGTCACCAGTACCACTCACAAAGCACGCTTAAGTTTTGGGCCTAGTTTCAATGTCAGATTATCTTGTTTGCAGTTTAATATGTTGGGCCTTTCTACCAAAAAAGCATATTGGGCTACTTGTTTTATTCGTGGGCTTTTTTAAATCTTAAGCCCAATTCGAATAATCACAAGTTTGGTTTCAACTCTTTATGGTAAAAAACAGGTGGATAATATCATTATCTCTTGATATGAATACAATGGAGAACAGAAGACTCAAGAATCTCATACTAGGTCCAGTAACGAACCTCAGATTCATGTTCTGTAATATGGTTAGGGCTGTTAATTAGCCGAGCTATTCGTGAGCGGCTCGGTATCTAACTCGATAAAAACTCATTTGATTAAAAAAAAAGCTCTATCTTGTTCGGCTCGTGAAGCTCGTGAACTAGCTCGATTATGTGGCTCATTTAATACAACTCATGAACTGTCTCATTTTGAGCTTATGAGATGTCCCAATATTGTGACTAGGCAGCCAACTCGACGACAGCTTATGAGAAAATCAATCTATATTTTATGAGTTGGTTTGTAAATGATGCATATAATTATTAAATTGTATATATCACCTCATATGGTGTTTAATACATTGAGTATATGTAAGCAAATACGTCTCATATATGTCATAACATTAGGTAATCACTTGTATCACATATGACATATAAATATTAGGGTATTTATATTATAAATTATCTTAGAGTTGAGCTCGAGTCGAACTTTCGATCTTAATGATATGTCAAGATTGTATAAATGAGCTAGCTCGTGTTCGACTCGACTCGGCTCGTTTATATACGTGTCGGGCTCGAGCTCGGTTCATTTATAGACGATCCGAACATGAATAAGACAAAGCTCGACTCGGCTCGGTTCATTAACAGCCCTAAATATGGTGAAAACCAAAGGGAACAGAAAACCCCCTATGAAAATAATCAACTACAAAATTACCCACATTGAACACGTGGGAGAGATGAACAATTCCCTCTCTCTGAAGAAGACCTCGAAACTCTTGTAAAAAAAAAAAAAAACCTCAAAACTAGAGCACAAGGCTCTCGTAATAGTGCAACGGCGCCTTGCTTTGTAGAATGGGTAGTGTTGAAGTCAAATCCATCTGTAGGGTCACCGTCCGATTTTCAAGCTTGCAAGCGACCTTCTCAATCTCGCACAACTCCCTCGATGGTTGCTTGTCGGGTCGATGGTAGGAACGAACTATCAGAATTAACTATGACCCAATCATGTGGTATCGGTCTCTACCCCACATCTACTTCTCAACGCTATATCACATTCCACAGTCCTCTATAGATGTTGCATTGCGTTGGACTTATAGTGTGAGTGACACGCTATGACACAACTTCTAACAATGACCAAGTGTAATCTATGAAAGGAATGCAGTATAGTGGCACAAGTAATAAATATCGAATCCACGGCTGTCTATAGTTACTATTACTCAGCTTCAGTTCATTATCTAGCAAACCAAATTAAGATAGAATAACTATAACTACTCTAGCCAACTGCAATTAAAATTAATCTAATTATAGGCTGGGAACTCACTTAGGTATGATTCCCTCTAGCTCCTCAATTAGGTCCAATATGTAATTTCATTTGGTTTTTTTTACTGTTGATTAAACTGCAGAAGATCCGATGATAGTTTGGAATCTCTTAAGTTGACCAAGCCCTCTTAGACAGAATAACTGACGGGGACTAACCTCCACCGGAGTACAAAGTTAAGGCAATACACAAAGATCTCCACTAATGGAATGAATTTCAGTACAAAGCAGTGAATTGACTGACTCTCGTACAATCAATTCTCAACTACCAATTGAGAAAGCTCTTTTAACCCAATCAGATTCTATCTATCATAGGTTAAAACAGAAATCAAAGGAAAGTGATCAGGATCAATTGACTCAACAATCATGCTTCGATTGATTAAAACAATTAAGTATAACATCCAAAGTTTCAAACAAGAAAGATCCTAGCACATGGAACTAGGGTTTCTCAAAACCTAAGTGAATGTAAGTTACTCCATAGAGAAGAGAGAGATTAGATTATAACTTTCCAGATCTTCCATCTTCATGTCTAGACTTTTTCCATGAGGTTCTATGGTGAAGAATCCTCCAAAATAGCTCCAAGAATGGCTCTAGATCGCCCTCTCTCTCTGCTTTGTCCCTTGGGTGTTTGGGAGCTGAAACCCTGCTCTCCCTCTCAAAAATAGCAGAAAACATTCTTATACCCGAGCAGGGGGTAGAAACACGGTCGTGTTTTGAAGCCCATGTTTCAGCCAGCCCTGCCCGTGTTTCTTCTCGACACTGAAAACACGGGCACAGGAGGGAAAAACACGACCGTGTTTCTCCGGCTCGTGTTTCTTCCTCCGAACATGTTCCACTGTCTTTGATGTTTCGTTTCTCTCTCGTCTGGACTTTGAATCAGTCGCCGTTTGATCTTAGACGCTCGTAGTCTCGTTCTCTTTCTGTTCATGACAAGCTTATATGATTATTTGTCCATAAAATGAGGTAGAAATCCATTCTTATTCAGGTCATGCCCGAGTTTCTTCTCCCGAATCGCCAATTGATCTTCGATTGACTTGAAACTTGCGCCTATACTTCACTTTACGTACTAGGACCTGAAGTATGTCAAAATAACACAACCTAGCATAAAATAGGCCAAAGAGAACGTTAATCAAAGCCAAATCGATCAAGAAATGAGGGTGTAAACATGTGTAAATATCGTATTATCAGTGAGTTGAGATTTCGCTTGTGACCAGGGCCCTGTGGCTTATGTTATTCGGAGCTTCCACTAGCCGGAGAAGATGTAATCATTTAAAGCACTCCAGATGTACTAGCAATCTACGCCAAAGTTGACAGGCAGGAACAGTTCATAAACATGGATGAGTGAAGCAATCGAAAAGGGTAATTGATAAAAAATATCTCCTTGAACCAGATAACACCCACTCTACATCGATATGACGTAAGGGCATGGTCATAACACAAAATCCATAATATCATTCGCGCTTTGACACTGATGGTAGTGATGTTGGGAAGCAATCTGGCATTTCCGATGTTATGTATTCGTCAGGCGACGACCATGTCCAACAAGACACAAGAAGTGCCAGCGTTTCTTAAAGAAGCCGCTAGACCATTAGGCTACAGTCATCATTCTATACCATCCTCTCCAAATGTGATGAAGACTAGACTTAGAGGAAGGAGGGGCTGAATATAAGAATTTCCAACAACGTCTCAGAATTGAACTTAAATCTTGGAGTAGAACTAATAGCCTCCACCCTGCCACTTTCTAAGGTATTATGAAGATAAGGATACACATTATTATAACCATAGATAAAAACATGAATTCATGGATAGAATAATCATCCTATTGGTATAAATATTTTATTAACTGGGCGATTGAAGAGACTAATGTGTGACATCTCATATGGCCTTTAAATCTAATTTTTCTTTAAATTTCTTCATTAGATTATATTATAGCTAAACTTAGATTTCTCCGTCCGTTTAAATCCGATTTAAACAAGCAAGAATAATAAGAAGAAAGGAATGAAGCATTAACAAAAATATATTAAAGCATAATCCAAAAACCTAGAACCACTCTAGGTTCCATTAATCTAAACAACAAAGGGTTTTCTACCTCGCATAAAATAGAAGAACCTCATGATCAGTTGCAGGGCCACCTAGGCCAAGGTAGGCACTTAGCACCAGCTTGGCCATAAAATGTAGTGACAAATTTATGTGATTGTTAATTAAATATAAGATCTACGTTCGATTGTAAACAATTTTACTAAAAAAGTAATGTTTAGTGATCCCTATTTAACTTCTAATTAATGTATTATATAATTAAGTTTGATATAAAAGAAATATCAAAATGCAGTGGCTAGCAGTTGTCATTGAAAGTGTTGAAAGAAGGCATTTTCTTATAGAAGTGTTGGAAGAACACTTCTGCAATGAATACATGAAAAAACTTCAAAATCAAATGTATGATAAAATCATAAATAATTTTTCAGTTGAGTACCTTAACAATGATATCCCTCATAATTTGCATGATAAATATATTTTATAAACTTTCAATATATGAAAATACATCCCGAAACATTATTTATTTTCATGTTTGATCTACCATAAGTGAATTCCTGGCGATATTATTGCTAATGATTACAAGTTTAGAAATAACCGAGATGAAGAATACTTGTGAGCAATCGAGGTAGGACCTCCACTTGAGATGTCCAACTCTAGAATCCAATTTCTCGTTGCTCTGGACCCTTCTTAATCTCCTTGGACTTGTTGGATTTTTTTGGAACCAACAATTAAAAATTGTTTTCATCTACTTGCTACATTTTTATGGTGGTAACTCAATTTTGTAGCCATCGTGGTTACTAAGGGAGAATGATATGTTGGTACTTATTGTTC